CGCATGAGTTCTATCCCTGCCTGCCCTGGAGGTGACCACAGGGCGTGGCAGACCTCTCCTGACCCGCCCGCTGCTCCCCTCAGCAGTGTACTTCATAGATCTGCCTGTTCTGCTTTCTCTCTCTGTCTCTGGTGAATCCTCTCACCCTCCACATCTCTGGCCTGTACCCCAGTTCTGTATGAATAAATAAATCTTAAAAAAAAAATATATTAAATGAAAACATTTAAAGTGAATATTTTCTTCTATAAATAGGCACTAAATTGTCCTTTCAATTTAGAGCTAAGGAAACAATACAAAATAGGATATATATATTTCAGTTAATATTGTTTGAGTTACAATTTTATAATTTTATTATTATTGTTATTTTAAGATTTATTTATTTATGCATACAGAACTAGGGTGAAAGCCAGAGGTGCAGGGGCGGTGAGAGGCTTCATCAGAGACAGAGTGGGGAGCAGAACAGGCAGATCAATGAAGTGTACTGCTGAGGGGAGCAGTAGGCCAGCAGGAGAGGTCTGCTGGGCCATGTGGGTCACCTCCAGGGCCAGAAATCCAACTTACACTGAAATGGCTGCGGCTAGGCTAGCTTGCAGTGCTAAGTCCTTACCCGTTGCTCTACCAGGGAGGGCCATTTTTTTTTTTTTAAAGATTTACTTATTTATGCTTACAAGATTAGGGTACAGGCCAGAGGTGTGGAGGTGAGATGATTCACCAGGTTAATCATCAGAGCAGGCAGATCTACTGAAAATACTGCTGAAGGGAGCAGCGGGTGGGTCAGGAGAAGTCTGCTGTGCCATGTGGGTCACCCTTGTGGCCAGGAATCAAACTAGAGTTGCAGTGGCTTCAAATCGCTTCATTGTGCTGCACTTTAACTCTTTGCACCACTAGGGAGGGCCCTGTTTGAGTTACTATCAATTTGTTATTGTAATTTTTACTGACCAAATAATATGGAGTTATTCAATACATTGCTATTATCAGATACTGGTTTCCATTTATTTTCCCTAGGTCTAGTTCTTATATAATACATAATTTTAAACTATCTCCAACTTTGTAAATACCTTGTTACATACTTTTCTGACATTGCATCATCTTTGCCTGGAATGTTTTTCCTTTTACCTATCTGAAAAACTCATCTTTCTTTGAAATGGCATTTTACAAACTTTTTCTTTCTTTTTTAAAATAATGTAAGTTTATTTTTACATCATTTTATACATTTTTTTTCATCTCAATTGTGATCCCCGTGGGTTTCCCATCACAGCCATTACCATAGTCTCGTGCACTTCCCTCCCCTATTTTTTGATCCCATTCCCCATTCTACACCCACAAAATATCTCTGGTATATGGCTGTTCATTATTCTTACTATTTTCTCGCCTGGTCATTTTATGAACTTTTTTGATATTGTATTCTATTAGAAAAAAAATGTTCATTATCTAGTTTCAGCACTGCATATTTTTAAAATATATACTCTTGAATTAATAGGATAGACACCTATAAGACTACACAGAGATTGAATAGACTAGAGGTACAGTATATGTATTTAACAAATACTTTTTTTTTATTTAAGGTTCAAACCTTTTTGTTCTAACCTCCCCTCCCCAAAATTCTTAACTGTTCCAGATGCACAGCTTTTAAATATTTTTACACTGGCATTAGTCACATCTCAATCATACTTAGAGTAAGTTTTGACTTTTTCCTTGCCCTTATTCATTTACTTTTGAACTATTAGTAAAACCTGTAGTCTATATTTCATTTGCAGGTATCATTCTCCATCTGCGAGGGTCACTTTAGTTAAAAATCAAATAATGTTAACTTCGGTCTATTTACTATTGTCACATTTACACCTGCTTCTTGTAATTTCATTTGCAAATGCAGCTAAGTGATATTGAGCAAGTTACTTACTCTGTAGTTTCCTCGTTTGCAAAACCAGTAATCGTTCATAAGGTACTTGTTCAATTCTATAAACATAATCGTACTCCTTAGCTACAAAGTGCAATACAAATGTTTGTATTTGCAATACAACTACTACAGAACACATGAAATCAGTTAATTTTGCATTTTAATTAACTATTAGCTTGTGGACACAATCACTAGACTCCTGTTTTTTCTTCCCTGTTTAACTAATCACCTGTTCCCCCTATAAAGAATACTACTTCCCTGGACAGATCTTTTTTAACAACATAAAAACAAAGTTAAAAAAATATATATTTACTTATGCATACAAGAACTGGGGTATAGGCCAGAGGTGCTGGTGTGTGTGTGTGTGTGTGTGTGTGTGTGTGTGTGTGTGACGATTCACCAGAGACAGAGTGGGGAGCAGAACAGGCAGACAGACTGAAAGACACTGCTGAGGGGAGCAGTAGGTTGGGTTAGGAGAGGTCTGCTGCGCCATGTGGGTCACCTCCCTGGCTGGAGAATTGAACTTGTGCTACAGTGGCTGTGGCTGTATGATTGCTTCATAGTGCTGTGCTTCAACCCTTTGCACCACTAGAGAGGGTCCAAAATCAAAGTATTTGAAGGCAGTAACAGTAAAGTTATTGATGGTAACTTTAAGATACACAGGTTTATATACAAAAGAACAGTCATGTTTCCAAGGTATGTAACCTAAGCATTTGTTACTTACTTTCCAGATGGTATAAGGACCAGGGATAGGGAAGAAAAAAGTAGGCAGGATTTAAACATTTGCCTCACAGCACGTTAGGGACCAGTGGCAGAGGTCTTACATACTTGCTCTTATAGAAAGGCCTGTTTGCCAAGTGCCGGCTTTGCTTTTGCTCCCGGTTGACATCCAGAGACCTCCGGGCTCTCTTTCAATTGCAAATAAGAGCCTTTACTTAAAACTGTAAAATCCAAGTACTTAAAACTAAAAAGTTTCAGGTACCAGACTATCAAATGACTGAATGCTGGCTCCATCTATCCCAGGATGTTTTTAATTTGACCTTCAGGGTTTTAAAATGTTGGTTGCCAACACTTAAAGAATCTAGAGATTTCACACAAAATATCCCGCTCCATGGTTTACCTTGGGAGAAAAAATACAGACTACCTCGGAACAGTGGACCCACATTCCTGGGGGCAACAATGTGTTGGGGCTGAACAGCTGCTCCCTACAGTTAGCGAAGGCACACTCCGATTTGTCACATCCTCATCATTCCGCATTGTCTTACACCAGGCCGGTTTCTATTTGCTTTACTTCCAAGCCCCAGTAGGCATTTCAGCCTGCAATCTGCATCAAGACCTATCCTATCACCAAGCAAAGCTTAGTTTGTTCTGTTCCTAGTCCCTCACCAGTTTTTCCAAACAATAGCGTAGGAAGACCACCGATGGGCCTTTTTACAGTGCTTTCGTATTTTAGCAGACAGGGATGACTCTGCAGCGCTAATTACAGGCACCGCGGGATGACTGTCCGTTCTACTTCTGCTATCCTGACGTGGCCATACCACACTGTCCTCAGGCCAACCACAGGAATTGGCTCCCCGTAGAACAATGAACAGTGGATTGCTTCCGAAACCTACTGAAACGTATTCGGGTAGATTTCCCTAGTTCCAAAAGTCCAAACGCCAGGAAAGGTTATTCTGACTCCTCGCATCCTCGGAGCCTTCAGGATATCCGGCCTGACGGCATTTCCCCTCACCTGCTCTCGCCGCCCGTTTTGCGCTGGGCTGTCGCGCCCTAAGGAGCGCGCGCATCCAGCATGAGCTCATTTCTCAGGGGCGTTTCCAGAAGGCCGGGCCTGACCGCGCGCACTAAGCGCAGCCGGCCTCGCTCTACCAAGGGCCCCCTCAGCTGGGTGGGGCACGGTCTCCCCGAAGAACTGCCTCTCTGGAAGCTTTGTTCTAATTCCGCTTGGGAATCTGCACCCGGCCGGGGAGGTGCCCTGGGTCCTTCTGGCCCTTTCGGGGAAGGCGCTGGGAGTCGGGACGCAGTCTCCCGGTCGGCGGGGAGCCCCGGGCGCGCAGAATGAGCCGCGCCCCGCCGAGAGCCTTTAGTGGGTGGGGAGAGTCCCTAAACTCTGCTCGCTTGAACGCTCGAAGCCCAGCCCACCGACCACAGCAGTCTCGGGCTGGTGGCGATGAGGGTCCGCTCCCTAGCTGCGGTTTTCACTTGGGCTGGGAGCAGCCGCAGGCGAATCCGTCAGACCTTCCGCCACGACCTCGGTCGAGCTTCCTCAACTCCAGGGACCGCCGCCGCAGCCCCACGGCCAATCACACCGTAACCAGGTCTTGCGACTGACGGCAGCGAGTGCCGATTGGTTAGCGCTGCGGTTTCGGTCTCCCTCCCTCCCTTTTCACCGCTCCCCGCCCCAGCTCCAACGCTTCAGGCCAATGAGAAGGCGCTTTATAGCCACTGTCCCTTCGCTTTTCTCTTCTCCCCGCCTTCGCGAGGGACGAGATGTCCTCACTGGCCAGAGTGACCTCGGAAGCCCCAATCCCTTCTCCAATCAGGGAGGGAGGTACACGCCTGGCGGAGTTTTCGGCCAATTACAAAGCGGCCGCAACGCCCAGCCGTGCGGTTTCACCAGCAACTCTGGGATTCACTGTCCTTAAGTCTTCAGGCGTTTTCGTGAAGGCCGGCGACTCTGATTGGCCGCTACTGGCCTGGTCGAATTTCTCCTCTAGCCAGCCACAGAACAAGGTGTACCCACTTTCTGGTTCGGCTGTCTTCGGCATTTTCCGCAACTTGGGCGTGAATTTTCAGCGACACTTTCTAATTGGTTCCTCAGGCCGTTCGGCTTTTTCCGAGAGAAACCGCAAGCAAACGAGGCCCGTGATTGGCTCCGCTTGGGCTTCGGCTACTTAGCCGAAGCGGGCGGGCACGGGGCTCGGCCGGCGATTCCCAGACGCCTGTTACGCGGGCGGCTGGGTCCTGGGCGGTGTAAGACTGGGTGGGGGAGGAAGGAGGCGGAGGACGAGAAGGAGGGGGGAGGGGGAGTGGAGAAGAGCTAGGCGGCTGCGCAGACAGCGCGCCTCACACAGAGCAGCCCCCGACCCGGGCGAATGCGGGCTTGTGCTGCTGCTGCTGCTGCCGCCGCCGTCGCCGCCGTCCGGGCCGAGTGACAAAGGAAGGAAGGAAGGAAGCGTAGAGGAGCCGGCCCCGCAGCCGCTGACAGGGCTCTGGGCTGGGGGCAAAACGCGGACACTTCCTGAACGGGCACCGACAGAAGCGAGGGGCGGGAGGGCGGCCGCGCTGGTGCCGCGGACGGGGGAGGGGACCCCGAGGGACGGAAGCGGTTGCCGGGTTCCCATGTCCCCGGCGTATGGGGAGCAGTCGAGGAGCCGCTGCCTGGGGTCTGAAGGGAGCTGCCTTCGCCACCACCGCCGCCGCCATGGCCGCTGGATCCAGCCGCCGCCTGCAGCTGCTCCTGGCGCAATGAGGAGAGGAGCCGCCGCCACCGCCCGTCTCTGACTGACTCGCGACTCCGCCGCCCTCCAGTTCGCCGGGCCCCCGCCGTCAGCCCGCCGGATCCCGCCGCTGCCGGAGTCGCAGCGTTTCCCGACGCATCTCCGAGCCACCCCCTCCCTCTCCCTCCCTCCTTCCCATCCCCCCCTTCTTTTCAAGCGTGAGACTCGTGATCCTTCCGCCGCTTCCCTTCTTCATTGACTCGGAAAAAAAATCCCCGAGGAAAATATAATATTCAAAGTGCTTATTTTCAATCAAGTATTTGCCCCCATTTCACGTGATATATTTTTTTAGGCGTCCCCCTTTTCCTCCCCTCCAAGAAAAGGGAGGGGGAAAACTGTATTTTTTTCCTAGCCCCAAATCATCTATGTGTTAAATATCCATACAGCTCTGTCTTGAAGGAGAACTATATATCGCTCGGCTTTTTTTTTTTTTTTTTATAGTTATACAGAAAGGAGTGAAAAGCCAAGAGGACGAAGTCTTTTTTTCTTTTTCTTGTGGGAGAACTTAATGCTGCATTTATCGTTAACCTAACACTCCAATATAAAACAAAAGGAAGAAGAGGAGGAAGGAAGGAAAAGAAGGTGATTCGGAAAGAGAGTGATCATGTCAGGGCGGCCCAGAACCACCTCCTTTGCGGAGAGCTGCAAGCCAGTGCAGCAGCCCTCGGCTTTTGGCAGCATGAAAGTTAGCAGTGAGTATTGATTTTATTTTACACCCTTTCTTCACCTCACCCTTAAAATAAGCAACCTTGAAATGCCAGGATCTTGAAATATTAGTCCTTCTGGTACAGCAGTCAGAGGTAATGGAAAAGGGCAAAAACCTGCCTTAAGTCACGGATGTGGCAGCTCCCTGTTCTCTCCTGAATCCCCTCCCCCGTTCTCATTAACCTTGAGTTGAGAGAAGGCGGTTTTTATTTGGACAATTTGATTTGTAACGCCTTAATTTTCTACACTTTCCTTGCTGTTGGTAGTCAGCTTTACCAAGTGCCTGAGTATTTCCACGTTGGAGTAATGAGAGTGCTCAACCTTTTCACGGAAGGATAGGCTTGATCCGTGAACCACTGTGTACTAAGTGTATGCGTTTTTGGAACGAGGGCTGTTTTACTAAGCTCAGATCTCAGGGGTGATCATCGTTTTCTATACTTCATGGAGACAGCGAATGTTACACGCTCCTAAACATTTTTCTTGTCTGTGTGACAGCCATACAGAGTATTTGTTCTAAATCCATAGGTGAACTTGCTCCATAGCCAGCATTCACGTTTCCAAGCAAGCATTGATTCCTCCCTGGTGGGAGCTGATAGGTCACCAACAGCCATAGTATCTCTGTGTGCATTGTCTTAAATTGCATAAGTGGCTTAATACGCTCTCTCAACCTCCCCGTTTTCACGTTGCCAGTCTACCTCTATGTAATTTATGTTTGCTCAAAAGGTATCTTGGAGGTAGGGCCAAGTTTTGATTGAAGTTTTTATTGTCATGTTGCCAAATACCAAGTTAATAGTGATTGTCACTGATTCCTCATTTGAGCTCAATTTTGGGGTGCAGTTGCCTTCAGTACTGGTTCAACGATCTGGAGCCTAGGGAACTCTTCTTGGGACGATTTAAAATACTCTAGCATTGGTTTCCTGTCACATTTAGATAAAACTATGACTTTCCTGATGGTATGGACTGAGGTCTTTCTGTTATAGTTTTGCAGTAAGGCGATGGTCACGGTTATAATAGGGCTGTTTAGGATTGTGGTAGACTTGTTCCAGATTTGTGCCGAAAAGTCTATGTTCTTGAGGTATCCAGTGTTCTAACCTATTTCTACTTGCAGATGTGTTTGTGTCATATGTAGTGACAGTTTACTTAAATCTACTTCCAGAATCTGGCAAAAATATCTGTATTGTTTCCTTATTCCTGGAGAAGGAGGCATGGTGAGGGCAAAGAGAAACTATTTTGTTGTCTAGAATGAGCTCACTGAGGAACTGAGTCTTAAAAAGATATAAGCTGTTACTTGAAATTGTTACATCATTTAACAACAAAACAATCACTGAAGATTTCACTTTTGGAACTTGCCTTAAACAGGGTAGTCTAAGGTAATAGCTGAATGCCAGATTATTTTTGAAAGTCTTTTTTTTTTTTTTTTTTTTTGGTGACTAGCTAGGACAGAATGTTGGGTATGTGAAGAGCGAAGCTGATGATGCATCTTTCAGGGAAGAGTCAAGCTTTCTAAGCACTTCATGGGGTTATTTAAAAGAAATATTTTAAAATTCTGGGATAATTCTCTGCTATGATGAAGCAAATCTTATAATAGATACTTAAGGGCCTCTTGTACCTAGAGTGTTCTGTGTTTTTCATCTTGGTAATAAGTCTAAAAGCCACTTGAAATCAATTTTAGGTAATTAATTAATTAGATCCAGTTCAGAAAGTAGAATACAATAGCTTATAATAAGTTTTTGGACTTTTTCATTTTGAGTCCAAGATTTTCTTTGAAAATCACCCCTTAATTCTTAATGTGGTTGTTGAGTGAGGATGGAGTAACTCTTCTAAAGAGTGTCTGTTAAAATGTTTAATTTTATGTTAGTGTATAAGTTAATATTCAAAAAGTTGAAGTTTAATCAGTGATAATAAATGTTTTTGACAACTTTGATTTTGAGGTGATTTTTTAAAAGGGGAATTGTTAAGCATTTGTTATGTTCATATTCTAAGGTGAGAGATACATGAGAAATTATCATCTTTGGCCTCAAAATATCATTTGTTGTAAAGGTTGATTATGAGACCAAATATGAAAACAATAGCATGGTGACTCAAGATTATATATACAAATAGAATACTTATTCATAGGGACAAAGGGGTGAGGCAGATGGGGTGGAGACTTCCTGCAGAGAAAATGTATTTTAAGACAGGTGTAAAAGAGGCAGTAACTTGAATTTATAAAGAAGCACAAAGGACTGCAGATGGAAGGAATGCATGGAGGCACAGAGAGAGTTTTGTATGACAGGTAAATAATTTTTGTATTTACTAAAGTGGTTGGCAAATTTGAATGAAGGATCTAAATAGGAAAATAACAGATGAAATTTGAAAAACACTTGCTGGTGCATGATATAAGGGGATCTTCTAAGATCCTCTTAGATGAGAATTTGGGTGAGATTTATGAAAGATTGGAGTTTGCTATTGGTTGTACAAGATATTTAAATAAAATTTGGGTAACTGAGTTGATAAGTTAGAGATGCTAGGACCATTGTAGGGAGAGTAGTGTGTTGAAAATGCTGAGGAAATAAAGTAAATCTGAAAAAGGGGTGCAAAGGAACATATTTGAGGAACAGTGTGAATGAAGAAGAACTTGGGAGGACTTTGGATTGGATTGAAGGGAAATATTTGTGAAGGAGTCAGGAGTTAAAAATAAATTCTGATGTTGGTCTGGAAGACTTGACCATGGAATTATATTGTTGATTATTATAGGAAAGTTGAGAAAATTGCTGAGATAACAGTAGATGAGTTCACTGTTAAAAACCTTACTATATAGTAACCCCCCTTGAAATTCAGACAGTAATTGGTTACTGCCAATGATATTAACTTTACAATATTTTAATTGTACACTTTGTAATTTTTCTGTACCTAAAAATATCAGATTAATTTTTGGGAGCAGGAAATGAAAAGCTTTTATTTAAATGTTTCCATTAAAGTTCAAAAAAATGTAGATTGAACAGCCCATGCTTGAAACCTAGTTAGAATTAATAGCACTGTGGTAATTTATTTAGTCATAGTAAAATATTTTTTTAATTAAATTGTCTTACCTATTTTAAATTAAACCCTAATTTAATTGCTTATGACTTGTTTTTCATATATAATGATTATTCTTAAATAAATCTTGAATTTAAAATAAATAATAATAAATAAAAAAAAATAGCTGTGTTCATTTGGGGAGGGCTCCAGCAGAATTTTTGCCATTTTTATTAAACTTGTACCAGGTTTAAACCAGTATACTTAAAATATGTTTACTTAATGATAAACTTAACGCTGCTTTTTCATTCACAAACACATTCAACTGTTCTTGTAAGTGGTAATAGCTATGCAGTTCCTTCTATAGAATCACATAAAATTTGACTGAAAATAGAGAAAGTACAAGGTACTGTGGTGATTTTTATTAAAATATCACAAAAACTTTTGGTATACTATCACTGAGAATTGAGCTAGTTTGTAGGTTTAATCTTTAAATGTAAGATTTGGAAAGAGAAATAAGTATAAGCTAATGAGCATTATTTAAATTATTTCCTCATGAAACTTCTTTAGAGAAAGTTTTTTTTTTTTAATGACAAGAGAATAATTAGTAGTAGCTGGATATTTTTCTGTACTGTTTAGTCTTTGATTAAAACCAAAGAGTAGGCATCAACTTAAAGAGTTCTTTTTTCTAGAGAGCTTAATCTCTTTCTGATATATAAAAATTAGGTTATTAGAATTTAGCCAATTTCTAGATTATCCATGTCAGTGTGGAAGGGAGCTCACCTATGAGAATAAAAGTTGAGATTTTGTTTTCATTACTTTCCCAATCACACTTATCTAGAGTTGTTAAAACACTAATGCTTATAGGAATAAGAATTTTGTGCTCTGTTGTCCATTACTTGTGCTTGTAAGATGCTATTTGTGAAATAGCCTTAAGGCACAAGCACTAGGGAAAAAAGTTAAAGGGAGCCTAGAGAGTCACAGATCAATTTATGACTGGTAATTGCATTTAAAAATGAGGTGTCATTTCATTTCACTGACACAGTTCAGTGGGAAGTCAGTACTTGTATCCTGTGTCAGTACTTGTATCCTGTGCTGTTTTCTCCTTGTTTTGGACTAAAGTTGCAGATAGAGATACTATTTTGGTGAAATAACAAGAATAGGAAAGCCAGAGTTTTTGTAAATGTCAGCAGCAGATTCTGAGACTAGATAGGCCTATTTTTGTCTGTGCTTTATGCATGGAGAAGACTAGGATTGTGAGGTAGGGGATAAGGATGTACAAGAGAGACTGGTGATGCACCACCTTGCATTGGGAAGTGAAGGGCACAGCACGTGGGTTAACAGAAGTATATGCTGGTAGTAACAGGACCAACCTAATTTCCCGGATATTGTTTTACAAAGAATATAACCAACCATGAGTATATGAAATTGTTGGGACATTTAGTGTCCTTTTCTAGCATTTTGTTGTTGTTGTTGCGAATGGGTAGGGTATGGAAAGGGAATCTTAACATTACTTCACAGATAGAAGCACTGTTATGGTTCATTCATTTTAAACAGGTTGCTAGTCTTAACTACTTTCCTGTCTTGGGTTGTACAAAACTTCCTTGATGTAACGTTAAGTTGTCTTTGAAATTGGTTGAATGTGATATAGAAATATGTATTTATATAAAGACCTGTGTGAATAGAACAGGAAATAAAAACGTACAAAATTAAGAGATCAGTTTAATTATTTTTCTCAGAAGTTTCCTGCCATTAAATTGATAAAATAAAAGGATACTGATTGTATTTATTTTTATTCTAACTTTAAAAAATGATTAAAAAGTAATTTAATATTTAGCACATAGTAGACATTCAGTAAATAATTTCAGTTCATACACCTGTCTCTGGGTTCTACTTAGTATGGTACAAGATATAAAAGATATGATTGTAGATCTGGGTTCTTAGTTTATAATTCCCCTTCCCATTTTTGCTTATATTTTTGGGTAAAAAG